TTCTTTAAACTGCAGCAGATACTAGTCTTAAAGGGCTTCTACCTTGGTGTACCCTGGGATGTTGTCCGGCCCAGCAGAATCCTCGAGCTCCTGAAATCAATTAAAGTAACTATAAAAACCAAACATACTGTGTCAATAGGAGCTGCTTCTTCTTATCATCATCACCATCGTCTGATGATGGAGGCTGCTGCTGAGGTGAAGGTTTCCCAGCGGTTGTAGGTGCATCACGATGGCGTTGACTATGCAAATTGTGCGAGACGATGGTTTAGGCGATTCATAGTCTGGTTGAGTTTTGTCATTGTACCCTTCGTAAACATCAAAAGTGATTTTCGAGTACCTTGTTTGTTTGACTGTACAGATACTCCATTCCGATGAGTTCCCCGGTGTACTTGTTGGGGACGACAAAGCTCGTGTACAGCTTCTTGCCAATCACTTGCTCTGCCAGTGAGTTTAGAGCATGCTGGTGTAGCCCACTGTATGTGTTTGGGATGGGGGCTCCAGATTGCGTAGCAGCTAATGCCCAGTTCGTGTTCCATCAAATAAGTCCATCCGTAAGGTAAGCCTGAAAATGTAGATTGCTAGCACGCTCACCTGTCAAGAGAGAAAAAAATAACATCTTTTTTAATGAAAACATAGGCTGGAAAATGTAAATCACTAGCACATTTACCTGTTAACAAGAAGAGAGGGGAAAACAATGAAAAGTAATCAACAATTCATGACTAATGAATGTATAATATTAAGAATAATAACATATATTTATTTTTAAATAATACTTGGAATGATTCCAAAGAAGTGGATTTTCTTGCACAATGATAGACTGGCAAGGTGACTCCACCCTTCACCATCTCACCAGTTTTGACGTGGAGCAGTATGCCTTCTGGGTCCTGGATGCAGACGAGGTGTCGCTCTTGCAAACTCCAGATTTCCCAGGTAAGGTCCGAGTCCAAGAGTGGGACGCCCATCGAGTCGCGGCTTTCGCGATCAAGGGAAGTTAGGAGCTCTCGGATTAGGTTGGGTGTCTCGAGAGTTCCTTGTGTTCTGCGACAATGTAGAGCATATTCTCTCTTGCTGATGTTGTTCAGAATAAAGTCATCAGTCGGGTTGGAGAGCTGCTTGCCAGCGATGAGCTGTCCACGATCGGCAAGCTTTAGACATCTTTGGCGTTCCACTCAAATATGCAAACAGAGAGCCGTTTGAGGAAGATCAGATACAGTTGAGGAGATTCGGTGGAAAAGGCTGCAGCGACCGTCCTTATGAATTGCCAGATGTCCAACCCGATTTGCATGTCCGACCAGACGCTGAACATCCTGCTCATGCTTGAAAGTCTGCAGCAATCACGATTGACGAAGAGGAACTCGAAATGGGGTACGCTAGCTGAGACGTATCTATCAATGATACCCTTTAGCATGTTGTCTAGGCCACATCCTTCTGTAGCAGTCAGGACTGAAATGAGCACTTGAATGTAATCATTTCCGACGTTGGTTGTTCATACTGCTGTCCCTGAGAGGTGGCCAGCTAGCTTTCTGACAATCTGCAAAAAAAAACAAAAAAAAACCAAACATAAGGTAAAGTTAAGCAAATATTAGCCAAATTAATTAAGAAATTAAAACGATTGTTACCTTTTTGGTAGAGTCAACCTTCAGCACTCTCCCAAAAGTCGATCTGATAGAAGCTGTGAGCTTGTCGATTCTTCCCATCACCTCGTTGCAGTAGATGGTGAGGAACCATTTGACAGTGGGTATGGGGATTATTCTGGAGATGTCATCAAATTTTGGTGCAGTTATCAGGCCACTGTCACGAGCATCACAGAACTTCTTGCAATTTTCAGGGTACAGAACCACTCTTTCATTCCACAGTCTTGTGACGAACTGTTCCTGAGTCGGGGGTACTTGAGCAATTGCAGAACTCGGTTGTCGCAGGCCAGGTGGTAAGAAAGCACGACTGAAAACTGGAGATGATGCGGTAGGTTGAGTTGCTTCAGTATGATTTCCCTCCAGCCCATGTGTTTCTGGTGGCAGACGAGCCTTCAAAGGCATCCATAACGAAGAGTCTTCAAAGGCATCCATAACAGCAAGTAGTTGCTCATCTCATCTTTGCGTACAACGTCGGGAGGTAGACACTTGCCGGTTGGTTGCTTTCTCAACCTGCTAAATACTGCTCCATCAGATGAACCTCCAAGTCTCGGGACACCCTTCTCATTGTGTTGAAAGCTTGGTCTGAACATCCTAGTGTAAGTTGGCTGCACCTGCAAGACTCAAAAATAAAGAAAGATCATGGTCAAAGAAATGTCTTATTAAACTAAGCGATAAAAATGAAAGATGTTACCATAAAATGCCAATGTGTGAGCTACACAACCAGTCGTAATAGTAAAGGCTGGTAATAAAGAAATAGTAGGCCTATAAGTAAGTTAAATGTATTAATTAAAAAAAAATATCCACTAATAAATTTTGTCAATAGGATAAACTAAAACAACAAACTAAAACAAAGAAATCATTGAATAGCCTTACAATTTTCTTCTTATCAGACAGTGGATGGATGGAGACTGAGCCAAAGGGACTGCAATAAACAACATCGCAGACAACCCTAGACAAGCTTATGAATACCTCAAATTGGGTTGGAGCAACCTCCACAGGTGGTTCTTCTTAAGCTTAATTCCAAGATTAAGAGCATTAATTACTTAAACAGCCTAGCTTATATTATTGAATGTAGAAAAATATAGCATTGTTTAAAAAATAAAATAATGTTTACGCACCATAGGCCTAGGGCCGGAAACTATGCCTATGTTAAATAATAACTAGGCCTATGATATGCTATTCACCTCCCGGAGCGGCCCCAGTACTCTAAGATATATAGTAGAAAGTACAAGTTGAACAACTAAATTTTGTGCACAATTAAAATTACCAGAAAAAATAGGCCGCAAACCAGCCTTAGCTTTGACCACCCTTACGGAGCTGGCGTGGGACTGGCAGCCTTTGCTAGGCCAAAAATGTTGTCTAACTTTAAATTTTCTGGTCTAAAATCTATTTCGTTCTACCTGGAATGCACTCGCACTTTCTGGATCAATACAGCTACCACAGGATCAGCTTGATGTCAATATGAATGTTCGGAAATCGTTAAAGCGGTCACTAAGCTGACAAAGAGGACGATATGTAGTGATAACGCTAAATCCTGTTCTACTCAATGCAAAGTCAATTATTGTATCGAGTATAAACCACAATAAACCATTCGACAGCACTTTACGATAGCCATTGACAATAAATGGCCAGTGCGACAAACGGTGACCTCCAATAGCTTCGCACAGTTTCGTGATGAGGCACTCTATATACTGACTGCAGTCAGGCCATTGGGCTGGTCCTATCTTTTGTCCCAAGAAGCATCTGTAAAATGTAAAAGATTCACAAAAATAGAGTTAGATGAACAAAAATAAAAGAAAATGTGGATAAAAGTAGGAAACTGTCTTACCGTCTAGTGCTTACAACACCTGGGATTTCATTTGTCGTTCTACCTTTTTTTTTTTGTTGAACCTAACCTTTGTGAGGTGATCTTGGTGTCGTGGTTGGCATCTAATGGATTTGTCATAAGCGTTCAGGTTGTTAAATAGCTTTGCGATGTGTTCAGTTTGACTTTGACTTATGACTCCATTATCTTCTTTGAACTGCAGCAGATACTGTAGTCTTAAAGGGCTTCTACCTTGGTGTACCCTGGGATGTTGTCCAGCCCAGCAGAATCCTCGAGCTCCTGAAATCAATTAAAGTAACTATAAAAACCAAATATACTGTGTCGATAGGAGCTGCTTCTTCTTATCATCATCACCATCGTCTGATAATGGAGGCTGCTGCTGAGGTGAAGGTTTCCCAGCGGTTGTAGGTGCATCACGATGGCGCTGACTATGCAACTTGTGCGAGACGATGGTTTAGGCGATTCATAGTCTGGTTGAGTTTTGTCATTGTACCCTTCGTAAACATCAAAAGTGAATTTCGAGTACCTTGTTTGTTTGACTGTACAGATACTCCATTCCGATGAGTTCCCTGGTGTACATGTTGGGGACGACAAAGCTCATGTACAGCTTCTTGCCAATCACTTGCTCTGCCAGTGAGTTTAGGGCATGCTGGTGTAGCTCATTTATGTGTTTGGGATGGGGGCTCCAGACTGCGTAGCAGCTAATGCCCGGTTTGTGTTCCATCAAATAAGTCCATCCGTAAGGTAAGCCTGAAAATGTAGATTGCTAGCACGCTCACCTGTCAAGAGAGAGAAAAAAATAACATCTTTTTTAATGAAAACATAGGCTGGAAAATGTAAATCACTAGCACATTTACCTGTTAACAAGAAGAGAGGGGACAACAATGAAAAGTAACTAATCAACAATTCATGACTAATGAATGTATAATATTAAGAATAATAACATATGTTTATTTTAAAATAATACTTGGAATGATTCCAAAGAAGTGGATTTTCTTGCACAATGATAGACTGGCAAGGCGACTCCACCCTTCACCATCTCACCAGTTTTGACGTGGAGCTGTATGCCTTCTGGGTCCTGGATGCAGACGAGGTGTCGCTCTTGCAAACTCCAGATTTCCCAGGTAAGGTCCGAGTCCAAGAGTAGGACGCCCATCGAGTCGCGGCCTTCGCGATCAAGGGAAGTTAGGAGCTCTCGGATTAGGTTGGCTGTCTCGAGAGTTCCTTGTGTTGTTCTGCGACAATGTAGAGCATATTCTCTCTTGCTGATGTTATTCAGAATAAAGTCATCAGTCGGGTTGGAGAGCCGCTTGCCAGCGATGAGCTGTCCACGATCGGCAAGCTTTAGACATCTTTGGTGTTCCACTCAAATATGCAAACAGAGAGCCGTTTGAGGAAGATCGGATACAGTTGAGGAGATTCGGTGGAACAGGCTGCAGCGACCGTCCTTATGAATTGCCAGATGTCCAACCCGATTTGCATGTCCGACCAGACGCTGAACATCCTGCTCATGCTTGAAAGTCTGCAGCAATCACGATTGACGTAGAGGAACTCGAAATGGGGTACGCTAGCTGAGACGTATCTATCAATGATACCCTTTAGCATGTTGTCTAGGCCACATCCTTCTGTAGCAGTCAGGACTGAAATGAGCACTTGAATGTAATCATTTCCGACGTTGGTTGCCCATGCTGCTGTCCCTGAGAGGTGGCCAGCTAGCTTTCTGACAATCTGCAAAAAAAAAAAAAACCAAACATAAGGTGAAGTTAAGCAAATATTAGCCAAATTAATTAAGAAATTAAAACGATTGTTACCTTTTTGGTAGAGTCAACCTTCAGCACTCTCCCAAAAGTCGATCTGATAGAAGCCGTGAGCTTGTCGATTCTTCCCATCACCTCGTTGCAGTAGATGGTGAGGAACCATTTGACAGTGGGTATGGGGATTATTCTGGAGATGTCATCAAATTTTGGTGCAGTTATCAGGCCACTGTCACGAGCATCACAGAACTTCTTGCAATTTTCAGGGTACAGAACCACTCTTTCATTCCACAGTCTTGTGACGAACTGTTCCTGAGTCGGGGGTACATGAGCAATTGCAGAACTCGGTTGTCGCAGGCCAGGTGGTAAGAAAGCACGACTGGAAACTGGAGATGATGCGGTAGGTTGAGTTGCTTCAGTATGTTTTCCCTCCAGCCCATGTGTTTCTGGTGGCAGACGAGCCTTCAAAGGCGTCCATAACGAAGAGTCTTCAAAGGCATCCATAACAGCAAGTAGTTGCTCATCTCATCTTTGCGTACAATGTCGGGAGGTAGACACTTGCCGGTTGGTTGCTTTCTCAACCTGCTAAATACTGCTCCATCAGATGAATCTCCAAGTCTCGGGACACCCTTCTCATTGTGCTGAAAGCTTGGTCTGAACATCCTAGTGTAAGTTGGCTACACCTGCAAGACTCAAAAATAAAGAAAGATCATGGTCAAAGAAATGTCTTATTAAACTAAGCGATAAAAATGAAAGATTTTACCATAAAATGCCAATGTGTGAGCTACACAACCAGTCGTAATAGTAAAGGCTGGTAATAAAGAAATAGTATAAGTAAGTTGAATGTATTAATTTAAAAAAAATCCACTAATAAATTTTGTCAATAGGATAAACTAAAACAACAAAATAAAACAAAGAAATCATTGAATAGCTTTACAATTTTCTTCTTATCAGACAATGGATGGATGGAGACTGAGTCAAAGGGACTGCAATAAACAACATCGCAGACAACCCTAGACAAGCTTATGAATACCTCAAAAATTGGGTTGGAGCAACCTCCACAGGTGGTTCTTCTTAAGCTTAATTCCAAGATTAAGAGCATTAATTACTTACAGCCTAGCTTATATTATTGAATGTAGAAAAATATAGCATTGTTTAAAAAATAAAATAATGTTTACGCACCATAGGCCTAGGGCCGGAAACTGTGCCTATGTTAAATAATAACTAGGCCTATGATATGCTATTCACCTCCCGGAGTGGCGCCAATACTTTAAGATATATAGTTGAAAGTACAAGTTGAACAACTACATATTTTGCACAATTAAAATTACTAGAAAAACTAGGCCGCAAACCAGCCTTAGTTTTGACCACACTTACGGAGCTGGCGTGGGACTGGCAGCCTTTGCTAGGCCAAAAATGTTGTCTACCTTTAAATTTTCTGGTCTAAAATCTATTTCGTTCCTACCTGGAATGCACTCGCACTTTCTGGATCAATACAGCTACCACAGGATCAGCTTGAAGTCAATATGTAATGTTCGGAAATCGTTCGAAATCGAGAGTTTGCCGAAAGATATTTTTGCAGATGAATGAATCTGAACAAGATCTCCCAGAAGAAAGCTCTTTTGCTGCCTCAGTTTTCAGAATTGGAACATTAGTGATGTAATGGAGCGGCCCTCTGATTGGCTGAGATGCTCATTAGGAATTGGAACATTTTGTTCCCATACCGTTCCAATTCTGCCGCCACCTATAATTACGAACGTGTCCAATTTCCTTCTCCTGTAAGCGCAAGTTTAATCCAATAATTGATCCATTTTGGACTAGCTATTATTTCTTTAAGTGCTGAAAAAAGTCTGCTGTATGATCCAAATTCTTTGGTTAATTTCCGCATGCTAAAGTAGATGATGTGCAGTGTTGTCATGGTTATAACTAACCTGTGGTCCAACGTATGAAACGCCTTGTGAGTTCCTTAAAGCGGTCACTAAGCTGACAAAGAGGACGATATGTAGTGATAACGCTACAGTAAATCCTGTTCTACTCAATGCAAAGTCAATTATTGTATCAAGTATAAACCACAATCAGCAATAAAACAATCACATCACATTGCACATGAACTGTCCTTGACAAGTCAGCTCCTTGAATAGTCGGAATTGCTGATTTCTTTCAGCCTCATAGCATTACGACACGAGAGCCCAATGCTTGAAGCTAGGAAACTTCTTGGTACACAATCCTCCAGAGCAAAATGCTCACTGCACAAAACGGAATAAGCACAGCCTTGGAAGAAGCCTGGTTGTCGACACTGCCTCAATCTACTTCTGTCTTAAAATGTGATCTTTTGGAAACTACTGAAAACGAGGCATATTTACACTTCAAACCAATCAAAGGAAACTTTTAGAACTAATAGTTAAATAATAACTAGGCCTATGATATGCTATTCACCGGCCGGAGTGGCACCAGTACTCTAAGATATATAGTTGAAAGTACAAGTTGAACAACTACATATTGTGCACACGTAACTACAAACAATATTAAACATATATATATATTACTAGGAAAATGTACTACAACAATTAAAATTACCAGAAAAACTAGGCCGCAAACCAGCCTTAGCATTGACCACTCTTACGGAGCTGGCGTGGGACTGGCAGCCTTTGCTAGGCCAAAAATGTTGTCAAACTTTAAATGCCGTTTTCTGGTCTAAAATCTATTTCGTTCCTACCTGGAATGCACTCGTACTTTCTGGATCAATACAGCTACCACAGGATCAGCTTGAAGTCAATATGCAATATTCAGAAATCGAGAGTTTGCCGAAAGATAATGTTGCAGATGAATGAATCTGAACAAGATCTCCCAGAAGAAAGCTAATGTTACGTGTATCAACTCAGTACTATCTATTAATTATGTTTGTGTAGCCAAGAGTTGTGAACATCGTGTAGATGCCATATAGATATGTCATATCCGGTAAAGGTGAAATGTGGGTCAAATTCAGAAAGCGCGGCTTAGCGATAGAGAATCCACAGAAAAAACACTCGTTTTTTAAAAAAACCTATTAAAAAATAAAGGCAAGCCACAGATTTTTTTTATTATATAATACTTAATTACTTTATGACATTTTGGAGGTAAATAGAGCCACCCTTGAAGGTGGTCAACAGTAAGATATTGTAAGATATTTTAACCTATTTAGACTGTCTATTAAAATGTGTTACATTCACATACAGTGAATATATCCACAAAAAAAAAGAAAAAATAATTTTTACAATCATGAAATTCAAAAGTAACTAAAAGTAAAGCGTGAACACTTTGAAATTTTAATCTGTGGATTCGCTTACACCAGCGTAAGCTACACCAGTCTTAAGCCGTATGTGTGAACATTCCTAATGTAAGGCTAATTACTACCGACCAATCACTCATAATTCTGTATCAGTGGTAAACAGGAGTAACTTTGAACAGGTGGCTGGTGGTGGCATGAATACTTTTTCATCAGCTAATGTTGTAGATAGTTTTTCTCTATTGTCCTTAAGAACATTCTGGCTTTAGTAATAAAATTCTGAATGTTGTTGCCCCATAGATCTTTTTTCCCCTTTTTGTTGTTGACTTGTGGATGTGGTAGAATGTGATATTTAATTAAGGATTAGATTATCAAATTACCTGGTAAAAGTTTTCTTTAGATGTATAGAAATGCAATGCAGAGACTTATGGAAAAAAAAATGCATTAAGTTTCATAATATACATACTGTAGATTTTTCTGTTGCCAGTTTGTGTTTTTCTCTGTACTTGTTGGTCATGAAGAGCCTTGGTTGACAGCATTGCATTGGTTTTTTCCTGCTGTTTTGTTATTTCTGGACCGTTCTTCCCACTTTCTTGTTTTCTTATCGATTCTCTCCATGACTTCTTTAAATTTCATGGGTTAATCCTTCTGTAGACTGCACAGATACTACAGCAGCCATTACCTTAAGGGGGTGCCTTTTCCATTATGTGGGCCCTATAAATTTTGTGTGTGGTTGCTTTTTCTGTAGTTATTTTGGAGCAAGTGCCTGTGTCTGGTATAAATGTGGTGAAATGTTTCAGAAACTGAAAATGACTCTAAACTCTTTGATCAACCAAAAGATTATTCAAAATCTAAAAACCGGTTTTGTAATGCTATTCTTTTCAGCATGCAATAACCAATTTTTTTAGTAATTTTATGTTTATATTCTACATCATCTGCCATAATTTCCCATCAGGAGATTTTTGAAATTATTATGGATATTGTAAATTAATTTTAATTAGTAATAAAAAATATATATATATTGAATAAAATAAATGGTGCTCCTCTGTTGCCACTTCTTCCCAATCTATTAGGATTTGTTGAAGTCTGAAAAGTGGTTGCTTAAGGGCCAATAATATTTTTGCATTTTTATTTGTTAATATTTCTGTTCTATGATGAAATCAGTACCAGACCCCGAACAGATTTTCTTTGTCTAGTGTCTGGAATATCAAATGATTTTTTTGTATAAATTAGAAAGACACATTGTAATCTTGATATATTTTGAAAATCAGAAAATAGTTTTTTGAATGATCATCATCACTTTGAAAGCTGACTTGTATCACCCTCTTGTACTTTCAACCCCAGCTAGTACAGTCAAATTTTTGCTGGTTTTGAAACAACCTTGGACCAGCTGGTCCTTAAATCTTTGGTTGAACTTTACAGCCTTGTTACAGGGCTCTAAATTCTGCTAAAGGTCAGTAACTTGCTTTGCCTTTCTTTGTTCAATTATGCCATGGTTTTCTCTGAATCTGAACAGAAACTCAGCGAGTACTACAACTCTTTCAAATCCAGGAATGTTGTCAGGGCCAACTGACAATTCTTCCTGCTCTTAAATTTATAGGGGAAAAAATTTTAAAAGATATGAATTCATAAATAACAACAGTAGTAACAAAAAATAAATAAAAATTACTGCAAAGACTAAAGAGGAATCTCCTTCCAATGCCAGGTGTTTTCTTTCCATAATTCTGGAACACAAGTCATGCGCCATGGCACTTCCAATGGAGTAATTCTTGATAAAGCCAGTTGATGATGTCTTTACTTTACTTTACGGTGCACATCAGCAACATCATCAATCTAAACTCCCTGTAATAAAGCAAGTGAATAAGAACAAAATTAATACTTAAATCAATGCTATAATGCTCTACCTTTTGTAAAAGAATGGTAAGATCGAATCTGCAATCCGTTCAACTAATTCTGTAATCGCCATATACGTGGCACAGTTTCAATGTTGCAATAAGAGCAACCCTAACCTCAGAATTAATTATGAAAAAAAAAAGTTTTTTATGTCTACTGTCTTTTTTATCGTTACTAGTTACCCATGGGTTCTATCATCATGTTTAGTTAGACTAGTGAATTTTGTTGGCTTCAAGGCACCAATGACTGGCCCCCAAACCCGAGCTGACCCACCCATTGATACCCTCCCGAAGAACACAAGTTGAGATGGTCATGTTTATAATCCAATTTCATGCAGTCCTGTATAGATATGATGACTGGTTAGTGTAAGAAATTAATTCTATGTGTACCATGGGAAAGAAGCTTGCCTGAATCAAATGTTTTTCAATTTGGCTAACTCATTCACTAGGTGAAATACACATGCAGAGCCCTTTAAAATGTACTTCAGCACTGCCCTAAACTTTACTGTGTGATTCAAGCTTTATTATTTTCCATGTTTATTGTTGACCATCACAATAATTGTTAGATCTGTTTCAGCATTTCTCGTAAATTTTCACTATATCTAAAAAGAGCATTGATCATTCTAACAGACTTGAGTTTAGATCTGTGGGTTTTAAGCCAGACACTCTCTGCATCATACTCTGCTCCCTGTGAGCACTAGAAGAAGTGTCAGTGGCTCTGTCTGAACTGATGCCACTGAAATGGTTTAAGGTTACCAATTGATACTATGCTTCACTTTTCCAATTGAATGGACAGAGTGGGAATAGTGATCTTTGGAAAATATTTAAAGCAGCAAGAGCATAGAGACCAATTTTGTTATAATGGACCTTCAATGCTTATGACAGCTGGAGTTTAAAAATGGTCATACAGATAATTAATGAAAAATTCAGCAAGAGTAATAGTGGAGAAATTTAGCCACCAGTGCTTATGACGGCTGGATTTTTAAATTGACCATATGAAAGTTATTGAAATGGAAAATCGCAGCAAGAGCTTAGTGGCCATTTTTTCTATCAATGAGGTCACAAGTGCTTATGACAGCTGGAATTTTAAAATGTCATTTTTTGATCAGATCATACAGCATATTTTGTAAAAGAAAAAGCTGTGATAAGAGCACAGTGGTCAAAGAGGCCACTAAAGCTTGTGATACCTTGAATTTTAAAATAGTCAAACATTTAATAAAAACTGCAGCAAGAGCACAGGGGCAAGTTTTGTCAATATTGTCACCAGTGCTTAAGACAGCTGAGACTATTCTGTTCATAAACATAATTTAACTAAAAGATGATGAATACAGACACTGATTAGATTCAATATTTAAAAAAATTTA